GGTACCGCTCCAGTACGAGCGTGATATTGCGTTCATACAACAGTTCGACGGAACATGTGTGTAATTAAACAAGAAACAACGGAGTGCCTAATAAAACCCTCTTTTGTGCGGAACTACTTGCTTCCGCCGGATTCAAAGCTCAAGTTGACAGTTAAACATGCATCATTTTAGAATTGGTATCAAGGGCATGTGCTGCTTCAGTTAGGTTATTAGTGAGAAATAATGAGGTTATAAGAGAGAAACAATGCGGTCCACAAAAACCCAATAGGATTTTTCCATAGGCTTTTGGATTATTGCAAAAAATAAGCTCTGTGTTCAACCATAGTTCATGATACTTACACGTTTTGTCCACCAAGATAATCTTCACAAAGTAATATAACTTTTATGAATTTTGAAGCCTAAAGACAAGCGCCAGAACTGAAAAGCTAAACTTAGGCTGTAAACGAACAACAGCACCACGGTCACTCGCCTTCGACGTCACCGCCATCACGCTCCTGACAACTTTCTCAAACTTATTTTTAAACATGAACATTTCATATAAACTGTAAACTAGAGTCAAACTAAAATGAGACATTAATAATAAATGGTATAGTGAATAAATTAAATAATCATAACCAAAGCACATATTTCTGTACATTTTGAAATAAGGTGCATTAAAAGTCAATAAATCCTTGATTAATATGAAGATTTTAATTAAAAACGTATCTCCACGGACTATTCTAGTGCATTTAAGGCAGTCGTGCCATCATAGTGGCATCATAATTCAAAGTGACCTCATAGTTCCATAGTTCCAGGTTTTTGCCTACAAATGGCGCTTTTCCACTGCATGATATGGCTCGGTACGGTTCACTTATGGGGGGTTTTCCACTGGGTACAGTACCTGGTACCTGGTACTTTTTTTAGTACCACTTCGGTTGAGGTTCCAAGTGAACCGTACCGTTACCAAAACGTGACGTGTAAACTCTGCTGATCACGGATTGGCCGGAGAGAATCGTTACTACCTGCGTCACTGAACTTGCGACACAAACACAACAGAACCGCTGGATTTAAATCAGCACAGCCAGCGGAGGATCAAACGCAACTGTCTTGAACGAGCGCACCTTTTTTTTAACAACCAAAAAGTGGTTTTGTTGTCTGTTGAGGAAGTACAGACGTTCCTCTCGTTGATAGCAGAGGAGCGGATCCAGC